CCTTCGCACACAATGTATTAAGGGGCTGACTTCATCTGACTGGATTGTTTCCCTGTTACAATGGAGACTTTTGTCTTGGGAACAACTTTTTCCACCTTCCAAAAGGCACCAGGAGAGAAAATTGAAGTGGAGAGAGAAAGGTCTGTAGGGAATGGGTGGAGAGAGCAGAAAAATGGCCTGGGGGCCCAGGCTCTGATTCTTGGTAGAAGGTCTCCTCCGTGGCTGTCCAGCCAGGCCCAACCCAGGCCCCTTCTCCTTTGCTGTTTTTACCTCCCTCTGGATCGTCTTGGAAGCTGGAGAGTTGAATGACCTCAGGCTCTGTTCTTCTCCCTCCAAGACTACTGACTATTGAAAGATTTTCTCTTAAGAGCCAGTGGCCAGGTGTAGCTAGGTGGCACAGTGGATACAGCACCAGCCCTGGATTCAGGAGGACCTGAGTTTAAATCTGGCCTCAGACACATAACATTTACTAGCCATGTGACCCTGGGCAAGTCACTTAACCCCATTGCCAAGCCAAAAAAAAAAAGCCAGTGACAATAATGTCGCTCAACAGAAATGAGGGTTGAGTTCTGGCTAAAGAACTATCTTCCCCTTCATTCAGATAGTTAGGTAGCACTTATTAAGTGTTTACTATGTTCCAAGCACCATGCTAAGAGCTGGGAATACAAATGAGGCAGTTCTTGCCCTTAAGGAAGTTGCATTCTAAGAGGAGAAATCATCACAGAAAGGAGTGTTGTAGAGGGAGGGAAGCAGGAAGAGGGTACCTTTAAGAGAGTGAGGCCCAAGCCCCAGCAAGATCAGACAAAAATCTCATTCCTCAGAGCCAAGGAAGCCAGAAAGGAGTCCGAGTTTCTGCTGTTGGGATGGTGAGAAAGCAGGGCCATGACAAGGAGACTGTGGAAAGCTACAGATGATGCAGACAAGATGGGTGATAGGAGAACATGAGCATTCATGTCAATATCAGGATCCCCTCCCAGGAGAGACCGAGATGGAGCCCTGCAGGGCAACTGGCTTTCTAAGTAACTCCGGGATGATCAACCAAGGCAGTGTTCTGTAGTGAATGTGCATGTATGTATATGTTTATGTACACACACACACACACACACACACACACACACACACAACCTCTCAGTGCACCCAGGCAATCTTCTAAGACTCCAAGCTGCAAAGCAGGTGCCCAGCTCTGTTGGTAGGTGGAGTTTCTTCTCTGTAAATTTCCTATACCTATGAAATTACAAGTCCAAACACAACACATACAAACAAGAAACACAGATGATAATAATTAAATGATAATCATCAAATAATAGCTGAACTTGGTAGACTTGTTTAAGGTCTACAAAACATTCCACATACATTATCTTATTTAAATCCCACAACAACTCTTTAATGTAGATGTGAGAGAAATATTCTACCCAGTTTGAAGATAAGGAAACTGAGGCTCAGAGAGGTTAAGTGTGCAAATTAATCAGCACAAGAAATTATTTTTACATGCTTTCGTTTTGTGACAGCAATGGTCATGCATATATCCTTTTACTGACACTAGGCAGACTCAGAACATCTGACCCTGAGAAAACTGGATTGAGTTGGTTTCCCCTCTTTTAGTCAATTCTCTGCCAATTGAGTGCTGGATTTTGTACCATATACATGCTTTGCTAATCTTGTTTATTGGATATTACTCTAAAGGTGGCACAGAGGATAGAGCACCGGGCTTGGAATCAGGAAGACTCATCTTCAGATGCTTACTAGCTGTGTGACCCTGGGCAAGTCATTTCACCCTATCTGCCTCAGTTTCCTCATCTGTCAAATGAGCCAGAGAAGAAAATGGCAAACCACTCCAGTCTCTTTGCCAAGAAAACCCCAGATGGGGTCACTAAGAGTCAGATGTGACTGAACAACCACAAAATTACTCCCAAGAAATAGGCAAACACTGTCGTTCTTGGAGAACATATTTCAGCAACTGCTAGAGATATTGCAATGGCTGTTGGTGTGGGGAAGTCAAGCATTTCAGGGATCAATGAAGCCCGTAATTAAACAGGATTAGTCACAGTTAAAAGCAAGGGAAAGGAAAAGAGATTAAAAACGAAAACTGAAGCCAAGAGCTGACATTATTTCTATGTGAATGATGACAGATCTTTCTGTACCTCTACAGTTTGCGGCTTTGAGCAGGGAGGCACAGCAAATGAAGTCTGAGGTGCCAGGACATAGAGGCCTGGAAAATTCTCTAAACCCCAGCGGTCTCTGGAGTAGAATCTATTATGCTTCAGCTGAGGTTAAAAAAAAAAAAAAAGCAGGGGTAGCGATCATGATCTCAGACAGAGCAAAAATAGACCTAATTAAAAGAGATAAGCAGGGAAACTACCTTTTGCTAAAAGGTGCCATAAACAATGAAACAATATCAAAAAAATTTGCAGCAAGTTTCTCTGATAAGGGCTTCAGTTGCCAAATATACAGAACACTGAGTTGAATTTATAAGAATAAGAGCCATTCCCCAATTGATAAATGGTCAAAGGATATGACCAGGCAGTTTTCAGGCAAAGTAATCAAAGCTATCAATAGTCACATGAAAAAATGCTCTAAATCACTGCTAAATAGAGAAATACCAATTAAAACAATTCTGAGATCCCACCAACACCTATCAGATTGGCAAACATGACAGAAAAGGAAAATAACAAATGCTGAAGGGGATTTGGAAAAACAGGACATCAACGTACTGTTGGTAGAGTTGTAAACTTGTCCAACCACTGGAAAGAACAATTTGGAACAATTCCCAAAGAGCTATAAAACTGTGCGTACCATTTGACTTAGCAATACCACTACTAGGTTTGTCTCCCAAAGAGATCAAAGAAAAGGGAAAAGGACCTGTATGTACAAAAATACTTATTGCAGATTTTTTTTTGTGGTGGCAAAAAAATTAGAAACTGAGGAAATGCCCATCAATTAAGGAATGGCTGAACAAGTTGTGAATATATGATTGTGATAAATGCTATTGTTCCATAAGAGATGATGAAGAGGATAACTTCAGAATAACCTGGGAAGACTTATATGAACTGGTATAAAGTGAAATTAGAAAAACCAACAGAACATTGTACACAGTAACAGAAATATTATATGGTGATTAATTGTGGATTCTCAACATACAATGATCTGAGACAATTCTGAAAGACTTATGATGAAAAATGCTATCTACCTCCAGAGAAAGAACAGATGATAAATTCTGAGTGCAAATTAAAATGTAATTTTTTATTTTCTTGTTTTTCTTACTTTTTATGACATAGCTAATATGAAAATATGTTTTACATAATTTAACATGTAAAATTGATATAATATTATTTGCCTTCTCAATAAGTGGGGAAGCGGCTGGAGGAAGGGAGAAAATTTGAAACTCAAAATTTTTTCTTAAAGAATGTTTGAAATAAATAAAGTTGGGGGGAAAAAACCCACCACACTCTTTAAAGGGTATCTGTGATTTCCTATAGTAATAATAATAATGGTTTGTGGAGCAGGGGTATACTGGGGTATTTCCAAGAGTATGCTAGAGCCAAAGAGCCAGTCGTTAAAGTTTCAGCATCAGCATTTATACCTTGGAAATTGGTAAACAGTACAAATCAGGGCTTGATTTAATATCTTGTTTACTGTCTAGACTTAAGAAAGTCTAGTAGAAAGTGATGGAGAAAATGTTAATAAATCAGATTAAACTTAAATGTGTGTTTGTGCATCCCCCCAAAGCCCATTATTAAACATTCACCAGCATACCCCTGGGGCATTTCCCATTGAGTTAGGCATGTGCTCTGTCCGCTTTCTGGGGGACATGTGCTGTGACCTCTTGTTAAAGGACATGAGAAACACCATTGTGGTATCTCAGATCCCCATGAATGGGGTTGAACAGAAGATTACTGACTATGAGGTCAGAGGAATATCCTGCCTCAGAGTAAGAATCTAGAAAGATTCTACATCTATTTTACAAGTCAAAGGTCAGCAAACCATGACTCTCAGGCCAAATCAAGCCATCACCTGTTTTTGTAGGACCCACAACCTAAGAATGCTCTTTACATTTTTAAATGGCTGAAAAAAATCAAAAGAAAAACGATATTTCAAATTTCAGTACCCATAAATAAAGTTGTATTGGCACACAGCCTCATTAATCCTTTTCCATGGTGTCGATGGCTGTTTTGAGCTAGAATGGCAGAATGGACTAGCTGTGACCCTGACTGCATGTGGTGTTCTCATCCCTCCTCATGGCTGCTCAGCTCCCTACAAATTACAGTGACTCAATTATAACCGCATCGTTTCAAGTGCCACTCACATCGCCCTACTGTGACATTTTATTTTTTATTACCAGTGCATACTGATCATGTCAAAACAAGAAAAGGGAAAAAAAGGTTTTATGATGATTTTTTGAGTTCAGGAATGAGACTGAAATTTTTCCAAATGAGAAGAACCATCCTTAACCGTTACTATTGAATGCTGAAAGGTTTTAGAAATTAGCTTTTGCTGCAAATTTGATAATGTTTCTTAATGAATCCAATCTAAAATTACAAGGCAAAATAGCACTTACATATGAAATTTATTCTGTGATAAAGTCAATTTGATGGCAACTCAAGTTTGAATCCACAAGTGATACCAAGCTATTTTGTACACTTGCCATATAAGAAGCTAGGTCTTCATTCTCATACAAATTTGCAGCAGATAGATTTTATGAGTTCAAACTACTGTTGCAGCAGCACTTTTTTTCCAACCTTGTTGTTTGGTGGTAGTGGTGGTGGTCTTCATTTTCAAAGAGAATCAATAGCATTAAAGGATGATGTCTTGACTTGTGAATTGGATTTGAGTGAGTCACAGTTACTCCAAGTCATCAGCCTCACTCTTGAGTCCACAGTCATTGAAGTCCAGTGGCAACACAAAAGTCAAGGTAGTTGGAGATGGCCCAGCATGCAGTGGGTGACCTTGGCATCTTCTGTGTCTGACTGAGCTGTAAGCACTCCACAGCACCTGCTTCAGCTGCCTTCATGGCTGTTGGAACAAATTGTGCTCATCCTCCCATTCTACCTGGGGGAAGTCTTCACATGCTAGGAGTAGACACGCCATGAACTCATCGACCTTGATCCCAGCTCAAAACAAATTCCCCCATTTCAAAATTCACTTAACTATTCAATTGAGGTGCTTCCACCTAACCGTCAACTGTCAGTGATTGATTTGCAGTGCAATGACATGTTAAAAGGCAAATTTCAAGAGAAGAATCTAATAAAATTCTATAAATGCCTTCCAAGCGATGAATATGTTCAATTAAAACCACATGCTTATGGACTGAAATCAGTATTTGGCAGTACCTCCTATGTGAAAAGACATTTTCAGAGAGGAAATATGTAAAACCTCCTTGCAGATCAGCATTAACAAAGAATACTTGCAATTAATTTTGATGATAACTTTGAACCCCAATTAAGCAAAGTGTTACTTGCCCCCAAAACAAAGTCCACTTTTCTAATCAGTAGACCTCTAGTACAAAAAATGTGCCAATCATTATTATTATATTTGAATTTCATAAATAAAAATTTTATGGAAGTTTGTTTCTTCTCATTGTATAAGTACCCACATAACATCCTTGAATTTGTCTCTTGGCCCACAAACCCTATAATTTTTAGCCCTTTACAGAAAAAGTTTGCCAGTTCCTGTTGTAGATAATGAAACTAAGGCCAGAGAGATTAAGTGTTTTGCTTCAGTCACTTAGGTGGTGGGTGCCCTAGGTGAGATTTGCTCCTGTGTCAAGATGAATTCCAGGTTCAGTACTTTATCTAATACATCAAGATTTCTTCTCCCCTTGGAAAAAACAAAACATAGCTTTTTACCTGTGAAAGTTATTGTGTTCTTCCTTTTTTCAGGATGAGCTCTCCCCAGGCAAATGAATAGCTCCATCATGAATGATGTCCTGGAGCTTCTCTCCCTAATCCCCTCTCATACTGGAAAGCTGGGTCCTTAGTGGGTATCTGGGTTCCCTCTGGGTTCTAGGAGCAGCCCTGAAGAGCTAGGGACTGTCTTTCTAATGTTAAAGCTCATAAGCCTCTATATGGGGATGTGCTTCCTTATCAATTAGTCATCCAAACAATTAGCTTTCTAGAAAGGGGCATTTGTTAAGGGGGGGCATAATAAGAGTAGTTGGTATAAAACATCCCCCCCCAAATTTGTGACAAACTCTCACTAGTATATACTTGAGTACAGGGTAAAGTAGGCTAAAGGTTGGAGAACATATGTGGCAAAGGAATAATGCCTAGTTCTTGGTTTCTAGAATTCCTTTTTCTCTTCTTTTTGGGGTATTCATGAAGTTCCTGCTAAGAATGTTGTCATTTTCTTCTAGGCTCCTTGTCATCTCTTAAAATTCCCTTTCTTCAGTGTGTCTTCAGTCTTCAGTCCTTGGTACTCAATTCAGATACTGTTGCCTTTTCTTGATCCTGCATAAATATACAGGGAACAATCAGAGAATACTTACGCATGCTCTGAAATGGAGAGCTAGACCCCTTTATTTCACATTATCAAGAAGGTATGAGCTTTCTGACAGCAGGCTCACCAAACATCTACATGGGTCCTACGCACACACTTCTAGAACTGAGTCTTCATTGGCTAGTCCCCCATTACATCAACTGTTACTGAATTCTGTTCTAATCATTCTGTTATGTGCATTAAGATTCTTTTATGTTTAGCACCTCTTTCTTTATATGAATAAAATGACCTGTTTCATGTCTGATTCATATTGTACATTAAGTATTTCTTTTTCAAATGCCCCCTTTTTGTTGAGGCTATAGATTTGGGCCAAAAAGTAAATTGTCCCCAGGATGCCAGGATGGGGATTTGTTTGTAAGTCAGTCAGGGAGATAAGGGGGAGCCTAATCCTTATAATTAAAGGTCAGGCTTTCCCATGGATAAAACTGGAGTGAACAACAATGGTTAGGTCCAGGAAAAGATGTGGTAAAGGTCACCAGCCCGTAGACACTCAGTACCAGTGGCTTTTTGTGAAATCCAAATGGAGACAGAATACTGCCATACAATCTTGTACTATGACACCATGAAAGGTTAAGAAATTTATCTAAGAGATGGAAATATATATGCTTCAGTGACCTGGGAACTTGTCTGATTTAAAGCCTATCTAAAGACTATGGGTTAAAGAAACTTTGGAACATCCAATGAAGGAAACTCAAAATGATTCCCAGTACTCATAGAAATTTATAACCATAGGCCATTTTCTCCTGGAAACCCACTCTACTTAAGTGAAAGTAGATTTCTGTTTCACCCTAATACACATACAAATGCAATCTGAGCGTGCATGCATACACTCACACACAAACAAAAACAAATTATCAGCATCTGCTAAATGCAGTGACTGGCAAGAAGGTTCTGAGACTAAAGCATACTATTTCTCTCTCTCTCTCTCTCTCTCTCTCTCTCTCTCTCTCTCTCTCTCTCTCTCTCTTCTCTCTCTCTCTCTCTCTCTCTCTCTCTCTCTCTCTCTCTTTCAAGTCTTCTTGCACAAAATGACTAATATGGAAATGTTTTACGTGATTGCACTTGTATAACCTATATCTGGTTGCTTATCATTTCAGGGAGGAGAAAGGGGAAGTAGGGAGAAATAGAATTTAGAATTCAAAACTTTTTTAAAAAAACAAATCTTAAAAATGGTTTTTACATGTAATTGGGAGAAAATAAAATATTATTTTTTTTAAAAAAAGAAGGTTCTGAGAGACAATCTCACCTTGGCTTGGTCCAGAGCATAATAGATTAAAATGGCATCTTCCAGGGTGTTAAACAATATGCCATAGTTGATGTATATAAAAGCAAATAGGATAGACTGCTGGGCCTGGAGTGAAGAAGACATGAGTTCAAATCTAGTTTCAGTCACTTACAAGCTATGTGACTCTAGGCAAGTCACTTAATCTCTGTCAGCCTCAGTTTCTTCAGCTATATGCCACCTCCCTCCCAGGGTTGTCGTATAGATCAAATAAGATAATATCTGGAAAGAGTTCAACACATTGTCTGGCACTTAATGTTTATTCCCTCCACTATAAACATGAATTGATAGCAATGATGATAATAGCATATATTATATATATATATATATATATAATATATTATATATATGTATGGAGAGAGAAAGAGAGAGAGAGAAAGAAAGAGAGAGGGGAGAGAGAAAGAGAGAGAGAGAGAGAGAGAGAGAGAGAGAGAGAGAGAGAGAGAGGGAGGGAGGGAGGAGAGAGAGAGAAAGAGAGGGAGAGAGAGAGAGGGAGGGGGAGAGAGAGAAAGAGAGATGGCCCTTAATAAATGTTTGTTGGATTTCATTATGCAGCACTTCAAGGATTACAAAGTGCTCAATGTATTATTCATTTGGTCCCCATGACAATTTTGCGAGACAGGAATATTATACCCATTTCACAAACTGAGGCTCGGAGCAGTCAGATGTTTTACTCATGGTCACTCAACTAGTAGATGGCAGGATCAAGATTTAAACCCAGGTTTCCATCCTCCTGTTTAGTTCTCTTCCTGCTACACCATTGCTAATGATAAGCAAAGACTTTTCCATCTCAAAGAAAGGAAAGCACCATCTTGTAGATGTGATCCTGACAAAGCTTCCTGGGAAGACTCTAAATGCAATTTGCAATAACATTGAGAAAGTGCAGGAAGAGAAGGCCTGGACAGAAAGGAAGGAAGGCAAAGATCAAGGCCAGAGGAAATTTAACTGTTGTTGGCATTAACGTATGACCTTTGTCCAACAGCCAATCGATCTGCTCCGGGAGGGACAGAGCCACATTGACATTCCCTCTAGTAACGAAAACAATCAATAACGAAGTTGCAGCTGAGTTGAAGGATGGCTTTTAGGTTCTCTTTGGAAAAGAAATAAAAGGAGTTGGAGGATTTGGTTTCGTCACCCATCTAAATTTAAGAAGGAACAACACTTCATGCAATGCTTGGCTATCTCACCTTGCAATGCTCACAGGGACCATAAGCAAACAGATCACCGTGAAGATAACTGCAATTTATGCACCCACAAAAATCTGCTGCAAAGAATGAAGATGTGAAAACAATCTCTGAAGGCATTCTGTGGCAAAATGAGCCAAACCAAGTCAACATTACCTGTTGATTGTTGGTCACTTCATTGCAAAGGTGAACACCAACCTTAAGAGAAGAGCCTTTCTATTCAACAAGAATTGATAAGAAAACTAGAAAACAGTCTTGGGGAAACAAGTTCAGATTAGCATCTTGTACTTTAAGCTCCAATACATTCCAAGTAGACAACCCTACCATCCCCTCAGGCTATTTTTTAGATCTTTCCTCCCTCTCACTGACAAATGTGTAGAGAAAGTTGTTTGCGCTTGTTTTCTCTAATTCTTTTCTCATTTGCTTCTCAACCTCTTCCAATCTAGCTTGCAACCTCAGCAATTGAAACCGCTCTCTCCAAAGCATAGGGGAGAATCCTCAAATATATGACGGAAAACAAGGCTCAGGACCAAGAAGTAAAAGAAGTCAGAGGAGTTTAAAACACACAAAAAACTTACATTGGTAAATGCTGAATTTGTTCCGAAAGACGAGTCTGAAAGTGCTAGATATAACAAGTAATGAGTAACATTACCAAAAGTGAACTGGACTCTATCTTAAGGGACAGAAAATGCTTTGTTATTGGTGTGATTGCAGAATTAGCTTTCTGTAAGCAGTCAGAACACCATGTGGTTAGAGCAAGGTCAAGATCAATGGCAAATTAAATCAAAAGGCACAGAAAAAACTTAGATAAAATGCAGCACTCATTTATATTGAAGCACAACAAGTCACTGGAATTAAAACACTGTTCCTCAAGATTATCTATCTAAAACCAGAAGCTAGCTTCAGTATAAATGAGCACACTAAAACATTTTCCAGCAACATTAGAGTATCTAATTTCCCAATAATATTAGAATACTAAACAAAGATGCTTACTGTCACCACTATTATTTTAAATAGCTCTAGAAATGCTAGCCATATCTATAAGAGAAGAAAAAGAAATTGAGAGATTAAGCAAATGGAAGTAAAATTATCTTTACCTTTAGACAATATGATGATTTATTTAGAGAAAAATTTACCTAAAAATGAGCCACAAATTGAGATATTAGTTTCATAAAAGTAGCAGAAGGCAAAATAAGTACACAAAAATCTTTCTGTATATTGCTAACAAAACCCAAGAGGAAGAAATAGAAACATAAATTCTACTTAAGAAACAATAAAATGTCTGAGTACTAATCTTCTAAGAAATATAAGCATAACCACAAAAAAAGCTTTTTTTGGCAAAAATAAAATAAAATAATTGGAATACTTGGAAAGCTATCCAATATATGTGACTAGACCATGCCAATGTAATAAAATTGCCAACGCTACTGAAATTATTCTCCAGATTTGGTGCTGTATTAATCAAATTTCCAAAGGGATACTTTATAGAACTAAGAAAAATAACAACAAAATTAGTTGGGAAGAATAAAGAGCCAAAAATACCAAGGGATATTGTTTCAAAAAGTAGGAAGGGTTGGTGCTACCCAGTTTCAAATTTTAACTATCTGCTACTGTATTAAAAATAAAATTAGATCAGGAAATAGACTATTCTACATACCAAGAGACAAATGCATACAAGAATTCTATGCTTGATAAACCCAAAAACATAAAGGAAGGAATTCTCTATTCGATAAGAAATGGTGGGAAAACTAGAAAACAGTCTTGGGAAAATAGGTTTAGAACAACATCTTATACAATAACACATTAATTTAATCCTGCCGTCCCCTCATGCTGTGGTTTCATCTCTTTTTTTTTTTTTTTTGGTGAGGCAACTGGGGTTAAGTGACTTGCCCAGAGTCACACAGCTAGTGAATGTTATATGTCAGAGGCTAGATTTGAACTCAGGTTCTCCTGACTCCAGAGCCAGTGCTCTATCCACTGCACCACCTAGCTGCCCCATATCTTTCTTCCCTTTCATAGCTAACTCCAATAATAAATTGTCTATCTATGAGCTATCCACTTCTCATTTACTTTTTTCACTCTTTTGTGATCTGGCTTCCAACCTGACCACTCACCTGAAATTGGTATTTAACAAAGTGACCAGTGATCTCTTGGTTGCCAGATGAGTCTTCTCAGTTCTCATCTTTCTTGATCTCTCTACAACAACTAACACTACTGACCACCCTCTGGGTTTTCATGACACTGCTCTCTCTTGATTCTCCCTCTGCCTCTCTGGTCCACTCTTCATTCACCTTTGCTGGATCATCACCCATTCTTTACATGGATGTACAAGGCTCTTTCTTCTCTCTCTACATCCTCTCAGGGACCTCATCCTCCTCTGTGCTTGGGTTCAGTTATCATCCCAAGGCAGGTGACTACCAGGCCCCTAGGTCTAGCCCTCATCTCTCTCCTGAGTTAGTCTCAGTAACTAGTCATAGCTGCTGGTAGATCCTTGTCTCTCTCTTTGTGAAGCAAAATGGCCGCTGGATTAGATCAAATTTTAGTGTCTTTACCGTGTCACCCAAGCTCAATGAACCCAACCAGAGATGTGACTCAGTAATAATAGTAATACATTTCTGCCACATTTGTGTAGCGCTTTAAGGCTGACACAGTACTTGCCTAAAACAAAACAACCCCGACGTTGTGATTGTATGTAGAGCTTTATAGATGGGAAAGCGAGTCTCAGAGAAATGAAGTGAAATGCTCAGAGTCAGGACTAGTAAACAGCAGGGTCAGGATTTGAACCTAGGTAGTGATTAACTACAATTTCAATGTGACTTTCAGCGGCACTCAATGAGATATCCAAAGACTTGAGTTCCAATCCTGGAAGTCTGTCACTTATTATGTGTGAGACTTCGGGCAGATCACCTGACTTCTCTGGACCTCAGTATCCTTGTCCATAAAAATCAATAAATAAAGGGAGAAATGAAGAAATAGACAAAGGAATGAACAAATGAGTGAATAAAATGAGAGGATTGAATTAGATGACCTCTAAGGTCCCTCCTAGTTCCAAGATGGTCTTCTATAGTTTCCATCAAGGGGCTGGTAGACCCAAACTTGTCACTAGAGATGTCATTGTGAATGAGACAGATTTAGCAATATTACCCCAAATTAAACATGTGTAGGGAGACACTTCCCATTACTCCCCAACACCAAACATGCTGACAAAGATAATTAGCAGATGGTCAAAGAGCCAACTCTTTCTCCCTAGAAGCCTGCTGAACCACCACTTCCCTGCCCCCAATCCCAGCCTCCCCAGACGAGTCCCAACAAAAAAGAGCCTCTGTCTTCTAACCACTTGGTCTAATCCCAGGAATCCTTCCCCAGCATAATAGTGGGCTCTGTCCTAGGCCTCGATATGCTCTCCCGCCCTCAGTTTTGCCTCCCAAGGCCCTTCCTGAGCTTCGGGCCTCCCCCAGGCCCCATATGGCTGGCATCCAAAGAGAAGATGATTATCACACTACTGTACTCTGGGCTCATGCCACCAGAAGCATCACAGACATTAGTTGTCTTCCAAGGATGGGCCAGGGCAAGAGGAAACCAGACCCTTTACGTGATGCTGACATCTAGGAAGGAATAGAGCTCCAGCTGCCCAGGGCCCATGGTAAAAGCTTCCACTGACTAAGAGGATGGGAACCTTTACCAAACCACCCCCACTCCAGCTTCCTGACAGACTTCCTCTTGACTTTATCCCTAGAACGCCAAAGTGGGAGGCCGCCCTACATGAAATCATTTTCCTTCTCAGGCCTCAATTTCCTTATCTGTATAATGAGGGCATTGAATTAAATGATCTCTAATATTCCTTCCAGAACTCCATCTAAGATCCTATAAAATGAAACATGATTAACCCCTAGCCTAAGGGAAGAATGGATGGGAATTTATTTGGAGCCTTTAACTGCATGGGCCATCTATCTCCCATGCCTGGAACAGTCTACCTCCTCCCTCCACCTACCTTATTTCTGCCTTTCTATGCATCCCCAGCCCTTAACACAGGGTCTGACACATAGCAAGCACTTTAAAAATATTTATTGACTGACACATGGTTCCAGGACTATTTCCAAGACACCACTCAGCCTCTCTTGTATATCTGTGTCTCCTTTCTGCCCTTGCCTGCCTCTACCCTCTTGGGGGAGGAGGGGGAGTGAGCATTTATTAAGCACCTACTATGTGCCTGGCACTGTGTTGAGCACTTTACAGATATTATCTCTGATCCTCACAACATCCCCAGGAGGGGTTATTACTCCCATTTTACAGATAAGGAAGCTAGGGGAGATAGAGGTTAAGTGATTTGCTTAGGGTCACACCTCTTCAGAAGAGGTGACAGATCTGGGGTATAGACCTCAGCATAAGCAGGCTTGTAGATGCATGAGCTGTGCTAGTTGTAGCCATAACATATTAGTGAGTGAAGGGACCTAAAGACAGATTCACCTTACTGTTCCCCACCCCCTCCACTTAGACAAGTAATTTTCCTACCTTGTACTTGCCCTTAAATTCTATCTGTACAAGGACAAGATTCATCTGGCTGGAGATCTGTGGAACAGGGAGGAAAAAGGATTAATTATCCCCCTGCCTTCCCTAAACTCAGCATTTTCCTTCCTTCCTTCAACCTACCAACAAGTATTCATTAAGCCTTACTATGTGCTAAGCACTGTGGTTGCAAAGAAAGGCAAAAATGGTATCCTCGCCCTCAAGAAGCTCAGTTAATCAATGGAGTATTTATAAAGTGCCCACTGAGTCCCAGGCACATATTTATTGAGTGCCAATTATGAAAGAGCTCTTCCAACCTTAAAGTGCTATATAAATGTGAGTTATTAATGTCATTATTTACAAAGTCCTAAAGCGCTAGGTATGAGAGCAGAGCTAAAACCAAGCCGGGAAGCTGGAAGCTACTTTCTACCATTTGACACATGGAGAAAACATTCAAGGCAGTTCCCATCCCCGAAGTCTGGTAGATGACATGTGAGCAGAAGGTATGTGATGCCTCTGTCTCCTGTTGGAATAACCCATCTTCTGGCTTTTTAGGTCACCAAGGGGAAAAGTCCATCCCTCCCCACCCACACACACATACACCCCATCCTTTAGATGCTGGCTAGCCAGAAACAATAGTGTCCCAGGCCTGAGATTCCTGAATGAGGGACTCATCCCAGAAGAGCCCAGGAATCCAATTCCAACACCCACCAAGATTGCGATGTAGACTGAGAGGAAGCAACAAGGCTCACCCAAGGCGCCATGATGAAGAAAGCAAGAGTTGACTTTTTTTATATCAGAGACAACGTGATTACTCACTCTCTCCTAAGGAGGTTCACAGTCTTCCCTTTCTCGAGCCAACCTATTCTCATGCCTTTGAGCAACATTTCTTTGGTGAAAACTCCAATCTATGCCTCTAGTCCTGACTTTCCCATTTCCCTGCTATCTCCTCAAACCCAACATTAAAACAGACCTCATCTCACCCTAAACCTATCAGCCTCCATGCTCCATTCCCACACCAATCCCATCCCAACTCAACTATTTCTGTCAATAGTACTGTGAATCTCCCTCAACCAAGCCCCAAACTTTGATGTCTTCCTTAACTCATCCTCCATTCCCTAATCCTTCCCTGAACATCCTCCCTTTAGAAAGCTTCCGGCCTCTTCTCCTTCCT